CTTTTTTGGCATGTATTGGCTACAGCCTCTACAATAACACTGAACAGGAGCGGCATAATAGATGTTCTCGGTTGTTACCTGCCTTTACTAGAAAAGTATTGACATTTTCTGCAAGTGTGTGCTTTGCTGTACAGGTTTTGTATGTGTCCATTTTCATCATTTCTTATCTGATTATGGCTAAAATCCTGTAACATGGCTCGCATCTTTTACATTTGCCCCCAAATGCAGATTCTTTAAGAACTGTCATATCATTTTTCATCTCTGATCAAAGGCGTAAAATTGCTCTGCATTTCACTCAGATGAGAAGCCAGAGACTTTTCAGAGGCCAGCACTTTCCCCAGAGTATGATATACCCACTGGCTCCAGTCACCTCTCCAAATTCCTCTACTATTTTCTCTCCAGCATCTCACCCTGCTCTGGTCATGCGGGTGTTTGGGTTTCCCTAAAACATACTACGGACACTCGTATCTGCTGACCTGTGCTCTGGTGTTTCCTCCTCCTGGAACAGTCTATTCTCAGCTGTCCCTTCAGTAATTCCTTTGCATATCTCAAGTCTTAGCTCTGATCACTGTTTTCAGTGAATTCAATTAATTAGGCTATTGTGGTCTCAGGGCAAATGACTGCGCCCCAGACTGGAGGGACACATAGGTACTCTGCTCCTGGGGTTCTTCTCTGGAATGATTGTATCTGGCTATCTGTCCCTCCAATTTCGGGGGCTGTCCTTTTCCTGTGACTTCAAACTCTTGGTTCAGTATGTTCAGCTTTTTTCTTGAGAATGGGAGTGATGACTTCCAAGCTCGTATCAGACCAAAACCTGAAAGTCTTCATTTGTGTTTTGTATCATTACTATTGTGTGTTTTGTTTACTTACTTGATAGTATTTATTCATGCTGCTTTTATTCTTCCGGTGCCCCAGTGTACATGTTTACCTTTTGCTAATGACCATTTCAGTTTGTGAATAACTAGTGTATCTTCCCTTTCCAACCCATGAAGGTCAGTGGCACTCTTTCACTGCTGTACTCCTACACTGGAAGTTTTTAAAGTTGATGACCATCTGAAATATATGCGTGTTTACAAAATCATCATAGAGCACTTTCAAGTTTTTAGAATTAAAATGTATTTTTCCTTACCAAGCCAGGTCTATGTTGTGTTTCCTAAAATAACTATTTTGCTTTTCCCTGAACTAACTTGCTAAAAATATATGTTTCTGTGACTCCTTATCCCCTGACCACGCTGCATTTTTCATAGACCTTACCATCACGTGACTTTATATTGTTGTTAGTTGCTCTCTTAGTTATCTAGTGCTTTTATAAAAGTAATACCACAGGTGGGTGGCTTTAACGAACAGAAATTTATACTTTCACAGTTTCAGAGGCTAGAAATCTGAATTCAGGGCGCCAGCTCCGGGGTAAGGCTGTCTCTGTGGACTCTAGGGGAAGGTCCTTGTCATCAGTCTTCCCTGGTCTAGGAGCTTCTCAGTGCAGGGACCCTGGGTCTAAAGGACACGCTCCGCTCTTGACTCTTGCTTGGTTGCAGGAGATCCCCCCACCCCCCACCCCCCACTCTCGCTTCTCTTATATCTCAAAAGAGACTGACTCAAGATATAATGTAATCCTGTAGATTTCATTGTGGTTTGTTACAATAACTGCCTTTAATTCCGTCATTAACATCTTAGAGGTTAGGATTTACATCACATAGGTAATTACATCAGATTACAAAATGGAGGACAACCACACAATACTAGGAATCGTGCCCTAGCCAAATTGACATACATCTTTTGGAGATACAATTCCATCCATAACGGTTGCTGTGGAGTCAATTCTGGCTCATAGAGACCCCATGTGTGCAGAGCTCCATATGATTTTCAAGGCTCTGATCTGTCAGAACAGATTGCAAGAGCTGTCTTCCAAGGAACCTCTGGGTGGCTTTGAACCACCAGCCTTTTGACTAGCAGTCAAGCACTTATAACTTGGGCCACCCAGGGAACTTGACATTATATTTTGTTTATTAACCACCCACACCCAAAGAAGTTATGATCCATGTGTCTCTGGGTATTTGTGGTTTGTTCAGTGCTGTATCTGCTTTGCCTGTGTGAAGTAGGCTCTGTGTGAATATTACCTAGTTTTAATAAATGACAGAGCCTCATATAAGTTTGTGGTGTAGTGAATTACTTAATATGGCTGTTCTAGTCATAGTTTTTGTAACTCCAACCAAATGATTGGGTGGGACCATGCTAATAAGGTATATGGAACTCTAAATGAGGGGATTGGTCAGCTTTGCCATTCTGCTAGGCTTAAAATGAGCCATACCAGAGGTGTGAAGAGAGGATCTCACCACCACCAAAGAAATAGAAGCAGGAGTGGAGCGTGTCTTTTGGACCTGTGGTCCCTGTGCAGAGACCCTTCTAGACTCAGGAGACAGAGAATTGTAGCACCAAAGACAGCAAGATGTCGAGAAGCAGTAGCAGAGGAATGGCAACAGCAGAGGCAGGAGAACCAGTAGAGTGGCAGGAGACCAGCAAGAGATGGCATGGTGAGCTTTCCAGCCCACAGAATGAGAAAGCTGAGTGCCTCCAGGCAGGAGGCTTGCAGGCAGAGTAGGGTGACTCTCAGCACTTGGTGGAGCTCGGTTTGCTGAACCAGAAGGCTAGAGCTGAGTGCCTTCAGTCCTAGGCTTCCTGGCAGACTGGGGTAGTTCAGGACACTTACTGGAAGAGCTAAAAAGGCTTTGTAATACTTGTGCAAGTAGGGCAGAGGACAAGGGAGCAGAGAGGTGGGCTGGCGGGCCCAGCTGAGAAGAGACTGTCATGATGGAAGAACCGTATGCTGAGCCTTCCTGAGTCTGAATTGTAACCCATTACTTCCCTAATAAAGCTCATAATCGTGAGTATTGTCTGTGAGCTCCGTGTGGCCACTGCAGTGAATTGCTGAATTCAGAAGGGAAGTAGAGAATGCTCTGGGAGGGAAAATAGGTATCAGAATTGGTAAAGATGGTGGAGAGAGAAGGCGTGTCTGCCCTCTGCCTCATAGGAATCAGCTTTGGGCTGTTCTTGATTCTCATTCCACCTTGCGAAGTTATAGGAGGTAAGACACTGCTTCTGCTGAGCCATTATTATAAAGGGCCTGAAGGGAAGTAGACTTGCCTGAGACACTGGGCTTTGCCAGGAGAAGGACATCCAGGTTGTCTGAATTGAAGAGGATGTTTCCTTTGTCTCCTGTCCCCACTACCCAGCAGGCTCTAGATCATCCACGTAATTGAGGAACAACAGCCAGAATAACAGGCAAACTGTAGGCATATGCACAGAAACGTAGATGTCAGAAATTCAGTCTTTGGCATATTGATCTGCTTTCTGACCCTGACTCGGCAACATACCATTTGTTTAACATTGAATAAATGATTGATTTTAACTTTCCATGTGGTAACCTATCTGAAGCAATATCTACTTAGGAAGGGCATGAGAAATAATGAACTAGTGTGCTGAAAGTTTTTCGCAAATTCCTTGCAATATTTTAGTTGCTCAATCAATGCAACATTTTATCATGAGTATGTTGTAGGAATGGAAGTTAGGGTTTTTCTTGGCTTTAAAATACGTAACGTGCTGCACTGCAGTGGAGGAGACTTTTGAATGTGGCACTGGCTGAATGATTGCTGTGACACTATCGTACCACGATTGATTACGAGTGATCTCAGCAGCTCACTTCACCCCGTAGCCTATCTTTGCTACAGTTGCGCAGCTGTTTAGTAAAATTGTTGCATCAGAAGTGCCGTGTAGCTGTCTTTTGTGTGCTCACTACATGTGGGGAGCTAAACGGTTGATGCTATTTCACAGACGCCACTCCTGCATCTCAGGCGATGCCAGTGGTCAGAGTTCAGGTGGTCATGCTTGTGTACCTTCCAAGGGCTGCAGATGTGAGAAAATTTTGGAGTGGATCGTCCACAGGGTTGGTGTCTGTCTGTTTCCTAGGATGCATGAGTAGTGTAACAGGTAAATCCCCTGCACATCAATGAACTTACTAGAAAACGTGAATGTTAACTTCTTGTTCATGGTCAGCAAACACAAGGGTATGCTATTCTGATTTTTAAAAGATTAGGCTGTTATAACATTTGTGTGTGGGGGTCTGGGTTTGTTTTGTTGAAGGGAGGGTCACTCATTACTGTACAGTAGCTTTGGGTCTCAGAGTTTGAAAATTGTGATAACTCGATTCTCTTGTTTCCTGTCTCTCAGTTCATCTCCTTTAACCTTTGCAATACTCTTGCCTGTCTCCATGAAGGTAGAGTGCATGACAGTGCACTTGTACAGTTATTGAAAACTAGGTGAGAGACACATAAAAATCTGCAGTTCCTCAAAATAATATTTCCTTGTTAGCAGGTGGTCCTGTCACCCCCTGATCACCTGGAGTTCCTTAAGAAAACGTGACAAGCTTTGGGCCTTGAGTTGGGTTGCCCTTTGTGCAGTCCACTGCGGCCCCGTGGCTGGTAAGGCGCAAAAGGAAAAACTGCCAGTCCTGCAGTGTGTCCCAGTTGTTAACATTTCATCCTGCTTTCACTCTGTGTTTCATGTTTTGTTAAATAGTCTGCAGGGTCCTGTGCAAGGAGGTGAACTTTTTATTTCACAAGGAAGAGATGATCCGAATGGAGAAATAGAGCTTTCACTGTAGAGTATTTTTCCAGTTGATGCTATGTGTTCTGACTGTTCTAGACCATAAAGGTAGAGAGGAATGAGACTACAACTGGTCACAGTCAGACTGTGGAAAGAGAAGTTCATTGTGTTGAAAGGATTGTTGAGTCTATGAGACAGGATGCAGTCCTTGAAGAAATGAATGTAGACAGTGAAGGGATGAGGCGGATGGGTAACTCCTAGGGTAGACCTTAGTAGAACACAAAACTTGTGTCAAATCCCCATGAAATCTCAGTTCCCCAGGACTGTCAGCCTCACCCTTCCTTTCACACACAATGGAGTATGTGGTACTTTGCTGAACCAGAATATGTGATAATTTTTAGGACTCAGTGGCTGTTGAGGATGTGGCTGTGGACTTTACAGAGGAAGAGTGGGCATTGCTGGATCTTTCTCAGAGGCAACTCTACAGGGATGTGATGATGGAAATCTTCAGAAGTCTGGCCTCAGTAGGTATGGATTAAAAAAGAAACAAACCGATTGCCATTGAGTCAATTTTGACTCTTAGGGACCCTATAGGGCAGAGTAGAACTGCCCCATAGGGTTTCCAAGGAGATCCTGTTGGATTCGAATTCCTGATGTTTTGGTTTGCAGCCATAGTTGTTACTTCATTTTTAATATTTTGCAACCAAATACGTCTTTCCCATCGACATTAGTGCACTATGTGGGCGAAGGAATGGGAAAACGTTAAATAAGACAAGTATGGTCGTTTGCTGTCTGGAACATGCGTATCTTGGTTTCCCGTGAATACAAAACTCTGTGTGTTAAACTGACTTCTCATTTCGACTGTGGTTAGAAGTCTTAAGGCTCTTTACATGTTGTAAATGTGAGTGTTCACTTCAGGAGTTTCTTTGGTACACAGAGAGAATGTTTGTGGTCTGGGACTATGTAAAGAGTCTTACTCTGTTTATTACAAATATGACGTGATTATTTTGCTGTAAATGAATTCACACCTGCCAATCACCAGAGATGCTGAGGACCAAAATACTGGCTCAGTGTCAGGTTCATTGCTCCTGCCTCTCTTCCCTAATGATAAGCCTTTCTCCATGATCACCTCATCAGCTACACCCATTTGTTCTCCCAGAGAAGCAAGAGGAAGATCTAAGGAGAACGCAGATAGCACTTGTCCAGGACCACTGTGTCAGGGGCACCAGGAGGCAAGAATTGTTTGAAGGACTGGGCCTGCATGGAGGGAATGAGATTTGAAAAAATCAATTTACAAAAGTCTCTTGGTTTGAAGAGTTTGTGCTTCACAGATACCTGAGCTTGCTTTTCTGACTTTCATCAATCCTAACACACCTGGTTCATGGAGAAAGACTGTCCCCTTTTCCTCTTTTATGTTCCATGTACATTGTGTCCAATACCTTTCTACTTTGCTCTTCTAATTACACCCTATTTATGTCACCATCACTCTCAGTCTTCATGGAAGTATTTCCTAGTAAATTGCTTTCTCAACATTGCCAAAGTACAGAAACAGCAAAATGTGTCAGAAGCTTTCTTTGCTCACAGCTACCTTTTCCCTCTGAGTATTTTCTCTCCTTTTTGTTTCATGTTGTGAACCTCACCTTAAATCATTGGGTCAGCTTCTCAAAACCTTATTGATGGAGAAAAGCTATCCACTGAAAATGTAATAGTACGATTCATGAAAAATGACACCTGGTTCTCAATGTTAGAAGTCTGCGAATTGCATGGCACTGAAGAGCAGAATAACAACCAGAAAACACATGTGAGGTGAGTGTCATTTACGCAGAGATAGCAGTGCTTCAGGAGAGAGTCTTAGGTATAATGACATAAAATATTTATATACCTAAGGAACCCAAGTGGGACAAATGGTTAGGCACTTGATCTCTTAACGAAAAGATTGGCAATTCGAACCTATCCAGTGGCTCTGTGGGAGAAACACCTGGCAATCTGCTTCCGTAATAATTTCAGCCAAGAAAACCTTATGGAGCCGTTATCCTCTGCCACATGTGGTCACTGTGAATTGGCATTAACTCAGCAGCACTGAAACAACTAGTGTAACCACCCACACATACGTATGCGTGTACACACACACGCATGTATGTATAGAAACCCATTACTGTCAAGTCTGTTCAAACTCACAGCAACTCTGTAGGACAGAGTAGAACTGCCCCATAGGGTTTCCAAGGCTGTAATCTTTAAGGAAGCGGACTGCTGCATCTTTCTCCCATGTAGCTGCTTTTAGGTTCAAAATACCAACCTTTTGGTTAGTAGCCAAGTGCTTAATCACAGCACCAGAAGGGTTCCTGGGTTTTTATGAATATATATGTGTGTAATGTATGTATGTATGTGTATACGTATGTATGTATGCATGCGTGCATGTGTACGCACATACACACTCCTTACATTTTGACATGGTTAGGTTCAAAAGACCAGATAGTTTTGCGAAAATCAGCATTATGTGAAAATAAAGGATTTTCTGTTTCTATTTTCAGACCATCCATTTGTCCAGTTTTTTTTATTTAGAAAATATGAGCATAGACATAAGAACAGCTAAGATTTAGTTAAGTACTGATTACCGTGACGAGTCATTCCTGAATTATTCCTTTGTGAGGAAGGAGGTTTGGAGGAGACAAAGCTGGATAGACCCAGGCTGTGTGCTTGGAGGGCCCATGGCTTAACCACTTCACCTTCCTCCTGTGGTGGGTCAGAGCTGCTTTCATGGAGCCACCTCCAGGGCTCCAGTCCCAACCCTACAAGCCCTTCTTTCCAGATCTGAGCACCTACACTGCTCTCCAGGCCTGGCGAGTCACCAAGGCTCAGGGCTTTTGTGAGGGAGCTGTGAGGCTAGCTACACAACCAGCACCACTGAGGTGGAGTCTTCAGGCCCAGTTCACATCACTTTGGGATGTCATTAAACTTGCAAGCTTTTCTTCCGAACACCGTCTCCATTTTATTTCTTAACTTTCCACCCCACAGCAATTTTTGAGTTGCAGGGCCTCGGGTCGCATAGGAAATAGGAACCCAGAAGAGGTCCCTGCTGGCTGAGAACTGCCTGTGCATCCACCTAGAGGCTGTGGCCACAGAGGAGCCCGGACCTGTTCAGGACCTAGATGTGGCAACCCTGTCAGCAGGAGGGACTGGAGGGCATGGGGTAGTACTGCCCAGGTTCTCTGAGGCAATTCTGAGACCCTCCTCATTAATATACAAAATAATTAGTAGGTTTTTTATATTATCATAAATGCAAAATGTCAGATAATGATTAAGGAGTAGGGATGTCTGTGCATGTGCACATCTCATACCTGTTACTGTCTTTTCCAACTCTTGGCAGTGCTGCTCGGTGGTTTTGAACCACTAGCCTTTTGGTCACAGAAGGTCACTAAGCTGGAATCAACAGCACTTAATAAGAACGATTATATATATATATACATATACACACATGGCAGTACAGATTTGTGACATCCACTTATGTGTATAAAAAATCAGCTCTAATATTGTGTTCACAGAATTTTCACCGGACGATATTTTTGTAAATGTGAGTCAGATAATTAATATTTGAAACATTTCACTTAAATACAATTGTTAGAGAGCACCATATTTTAAAAACAGTAAAAATAATGGTAGCATGTCTGCTAGATGATTTAATCTATGAAACATGAGAGAGTTCAGAGCAAAAAATCATGTTTAATGTGTATGGTAATGGTGTAATAGTAACAAATTTGAATCCAACATCATGCCTATTTTTAACAGAAGCCATATGTTAGAGAACCTCTGTGAAAGTAATGAAGATAATCATTGTGGACAGACCTTCAGCCAGATTCCAAATTTTTCTGTGCTAAAAAGAACTGCGGATGCATATCCTTCTGAGCGCCTTGAGTGTGGAAAATCCTTGATGAATCATTCATCACTTAAACATCATATCACATCTCACTCTGGATGCAGTGCCTATCAGTGTAAAGAATGTAGAGGAGCCTACAGTTGTCCCTCTTACCTCAGCACTGCTGTGAGAACTCTTACTGAAGAGACATTCTGTAAACGTAAGGAGTGCGGCAAAGGCTTTCATCGTTCCTCAAACCTCAGTATATATATGAAAATTCACAGTGGAGAGAAGGTCTGTGTATGTAAGGAATGTGGGAAAGCCTTTAGTCAGTCCTCAGACCTCACTATACATATGAGAACTCACAGTGGAGAGATGGTTTATGTATGTAAGGAATGTGGGAAAACCTTTTGTCACTTCTCAAACCTCACTGCACATATAAGAACGCACAGTGGAGAGAGTTCTTATATATGTAATGAACGTAGGAAAGCCTTTTGTTACTCCTCAGATCTCACTGCACATATGAGAATTCACAGTGGAGAAAGGGTTTATGAATGTAAGGAATGTGGCAAAACCTGTAGTCAGTACTCACACCTCACTTCACATGTAAGAACTCACAATGGTGAGAGGCCTTACGAATGTAAGGAATGTGGAAAAGCCTTTAGTCGGTCCTCAAACCTCACTGTACATATGAGAAATCACTGTGGAGAGAGATGCTATGAATGTGTGGACTGCGGCAATGCCTTTCGTTACTCCTCACACCTCACTGTAAATACTAGAACTCACGGTGGTCAGAGGCCTTATGAATGTAAGGAATGTGGCAAAGCCTTTAGTGACTCCTCAAACCTTAGTACACATATAAGAACTCACAGTGGTGAGAGGCCTTTTGAATGTAAGGAATGTGGCAAAGCCTTTAGTAACTCCTCAAACCTCACTACACATATAAGAACTCACAGTGGTGAGAGGCCTTATGAATGTAAGGAATGTGGCAGAGCGTTTAGTGACTCCTCAAACCTTACTACACATAAAAGAATTCACAGTGGTGAGAGGCCTTACAAATGTAAGGAATGTGGGAAAGCCTTTAGTCGGTCCTCATACCTGACTTCACATAGAAGAACACATACTGGTGAGAGGCCTTATGAATGTAAGGAATGTGGGAAAGCCTATAGTCACTCCTCACACCTCCGTGAACATATGAGAACTCACTATGGAGAAAGACCTTACAAATGTATGGAATGTGGGAAAAGCTTTTGTTACTCTTCAAACCACACTAAACATATGAGAACTCACAGTGGTAAGAGGCCTTATGAATGTAAGGAATGTGGCAAAGTCTTTAGATGGTCCTCACACTTCACTGCACATTTAAGAACTCACGGTGGGAGACCTTATGAATGTGGGGAATGTGGCAAAGCCTTTAGTCGGTCCTCTTACCTCCCTTCACATATAAGAACTCACAGCGGTGAGAGGCCTTATGAATGTAAGGAATGTGGCAAAGCCTTTAGTCGGTCCTCTCACCTCACTTCACATATAAGAACTCACAGTGGTGAGAGGCCTTATGAATGTAAGGAATGTGGCAAAGCCTTTAGTGACTCCTCAAACCTCAGTTCACATATAAGAATTCACAGTGGTGAGAGGCCTTATGACTGTAAGGAATGTGGCAAAGCCTTTAGTCGGTACTCATACCTGACTTCACATAGAAGAACACATAGTGGTGAGAGGCCTTATGAATGTAAGGAATGTGGCAAAGCCTTTTATCAGTTCTCACAGCTCACTAGACATGTAAGAATTCATAGTGGAGAGAGGCCTTCAGTAAGAAATGTGGGAAAGGCTTTAGTTATTCCTCATCCCTCACTGAATACATAAGAAATCACTCTGGAGAGAAACATTTTGAATATACTATACAGAATGTGGGAAATTTTGTTGTAATTCCTCAAACCTCACTAATCATAAAAAATTATGGCTTAGAAATGCTTTATAAATGTAAGGAGTTTGTCCATGTCAATTATGATGAAGAAACAACCAATGGTTAATTGCAGATATTCACTTCATCCTTTAAGCTCCTACAAATAACAGTTTCCTACCAGAAGAACCCAGATCTTTATTGTCCCTCACAACAAATGAAAATTTCTCCAGTTGTCCATAAATTATGTATTATGAGTGTTTGGTTTTTTGAATTTACTATCGAAACCATATTTCCACATTACCTTTTTATTTGTAGATCTGTTTAATCTATCTTACACAGAACATTCTCCTGCTTGTCTTGTAAAATGTTAAACTTTTCAGCATTCTGATATAGTCCAAACTGTGACAGCCAAAACCTGTTTAAGTCAGAAACCTGCCAGAGAAGAAAAACCGGGTGTTTATGATGTACAATTCTTAATAGAGAACAAAAGGAAAGTGTTAAGCACCCAGTCAAAGGTGGAAAATATGCACGACCTGGTACAACAAGGCACTCACATCGCATTCCGGCTCTCTCAGATTTTACTGTGTTTGTTTTATTATGATTGTATTTAACTAGTTTGTCTTATGTATTGTAACACAGACATTGTCTTGTAGTTTTACTAGAAATGTAATGCACGTCAAAGATGTAATTTAAAATATTTTAGCAGCCATATTAGATATTTAAAAATGTAAATGTGAACTTATTAATGAAAAATCTAATTTAACCCAATATGTCCATTTATTGTCAAAGTAAAAATTATAAATGAAATTAATATAAGGTTATTAGATGGTTTATACTTCCTTTTTTTGTACTCCATCTTCCATTATCCAGAAGCAGCACGTTTCATAAATCTTGTTGTTGAAAAGTAGATTTACAATCTCAGGTTGTTCTAAGCATACTTGTTTATTTTATGAATAAACAATAATATTATA